AAGCTGGGGGAAAAAGATTGGGAGCCAAAGGTAGTAAATGACTATATGAATGAAATTAAAATGTTGACAAGGGGGACTGGCCCCATGGCCAAGTAATTAAGTTCACGTGCTCTGCTTCAGGGGCCAGGGTTTCGCCGGTTAGGATCCTGGGCGCGGACACAGCACCGCTCATTAGGCCAGGCTGAGGCAGCGTCCCACATGTCACAACCAGAAGGACCCACAACTAGAACATACAACTATGTACTGGGGGGACTTTGGAGAGAAGAAAAAGAAAAAAAAATGTTGACAAGGATCTTGCCATTTCTGAATGTTTCAAACTATGTAAGGAGAGCATTTTTCATTGCTAAATATGATATATGTATTTTAAAAATTAACATTCTGGGGCCGGTGGCACAGCGGTTAAGTGTGCACATTCTGCTTTGGCAGCCCAGGGTTTGCTGGTTCGGATCCCGGGGATGGACATGGCAGTGCTTGGCAAGCCATGCTGTGGCAGATGTCCCACATATAAAGTAGAGGAAGATGGGCAAAGATGTTAGCTCAGGGCCAGTCTTCCTCAGCAAAAAGAGGAGGACTGGCAGCAGATGTTAGCTCAGGGCTAATCTTCCTCAAAAAAAAAAAAAAATTAACATTTTTCTTATTTCAACCAGAAAAGGGAAAGCGAAATTGAAGGAATTTCCCCTACACTTCAAAAGGATTTTTTAGCAACTTTGGATACAAAGAAAAAGAGCAGCTTCATATGATGAGTTATCATATTAAAAAAAAAAAAGTAGCTAATGAATGGGAATACAGAGACAACTATCACTATATTTCTAGAAAGCTGATAGTTATTTTACATAGAAAATGGTCTAGGTTTTCTACAATTAATTTAGATTTAAGAAGTCCAGAAAGCTGCAAGAATTGCACTTACTCTGGTGGGCCTATAAGAATGCCGTATTTTCCACAGTGATGCCTTAATTAGAACTTTTAAAGGCGAAAATCGTGGCAAAAGATCAAAGAATGAGAAATAGGTGGCAGGCCATAGCCAGTTCTACATCAACAGCTCTCAGCCACCTCCTCCTCCTATTTCTTGATAAAAACCCATTAATTCCCACTCCCTTCTGTGCTAACATTCATTTCAAGAGAAATATGCTTGGACCTGACTTGCACATGCCTTTCACACAGAGGAGCAGAAGTGTAGAAACAGGCAGAACATCTGAAATAGCTCTGCTCCACTCATGGCTGCGCATCTGGCCCTCTGCCCCTCCTCCACCCACGGACAGTGTCCTTGCAGGGCCGGGAGGAGGAATTATCAGCCCCTTTACTGCCTGAGGTGGAAAGATCAGATAAGGGCACATGAAAAGGTTATACAGTGGCCAAACAGCAGACAAGCATTTCTAACTCTGGGCTCATAGCAGTAATCAGAAACCTACAAACCCCTATATTTTTCCATACAATTTGGGCAAAAGAGGCCCATGGGGTAGATTTTTATCTGCGACATTTCTTAAATAAATTAGCTTATTTTGGTGAAACTGGACTTCCAGGAAATAAGGAAAGGACAAAGGTGGAGGGCTAAATATGAGCATTCTAAAATGTGAACCTCTGCCCTATCACTACCTGTTTCAATTCTTACTTTAATGTGGGTAAAACATAGTCCCTCAAACTCTTAATGTATAGATGGCACCTAGCCAATCTATATCCTTCTAAGTAAACTTTTTAAGTTAAAGAATAAAATATATAATCAATATACAAATCATTAAGTATGTAGTTAGATGAATTTTTCATAAATTAATCCATGTAGCCAGCACCAGATCAGGAAAGAAAACCTTACCGACATCCTGGAAACTCCCCCTCACAACCCTTTGGGTGACTCTCTTCCCCTAAGGGTAACTGCTATTCTGACATCTAACGAGATAGGTTCATTTTAGGAAGTATCTATTTTAATGCCATTGAACTGGGTCTTTTTAAATAGTACTTGGCTCCAGATAAAATCTGCAGATATGTATTGGACCAACCCAGCTATCCCAAGCACCCATTGTTTGACTACGAAGCTATGCTGAGTACTACACAATAAACATCATTTTGGAACAAAAGACCCCAGATTTAGTCCCTGCTCTGCCACTAATTAGTTGTAAGATCTAGAGGGAGTAACATCTCCATTTAACATTTCCTTAAATCTCTTTTTCTAAAGTAAGTACATTTAACTAGAAAAGGTATAAGTTCTCTTCTGAAAGAATATGCTTATCAAAATGGAAATATTAAGAATATATACTTTCAACTATGTATCATTTTCAAGTATATATATAATTGTATTTCAAATATAATTTCATATTCATATGAATATATTCAATCATATATAAATACATCATTCAATTATATATATAATTTATAGTTTTATACTGTATAAATACATAGAGAGTTTTATGAAATATTGTGCCTATTTACCTTCCTTCAAAGACAAATATTTATTACAGCATTATGACATTATGTATGCAGTAATAAGAGCATATCTGGGGTCCCTGCCTTCCTACTGTTTTCAGTCTTGCTCTGTCTAACTTAAAGAAACTAAATAGTGATTAATAGTGGAGAGAAAGAACCATGGGACTAAATACATATGGGTCATTAGATGACATTTCTTCCCGAAGAGACACAGAATTCAAGGAAATAGAGGATCTCTATGTAGAACTCTAACGTAGAGGAAGGTTTATCTGTAGCGTCCCAAGCCTGAACAATCTTTGCTTTTCCTCTACTCAGTGGGAACTCTTTCTCTTCCCCAAAGTGCCCTTCTCGCTCCCTATCAAAATCTGTTATTAAGATTAGTTTATTCTCCTTAATGTGTAAATGGTTGCCAAGGCTGAATGTTCTCTTTCACAGAAGTTTTTACACTTACGAAGACATTTTGATTTTAAGGAGCGAATTTCTAGCTACAGAATTTCACGTATCAGAATGTCAGGAGGACAAGATCTCTTTTAGACAAGGAACAACTAAAATCACCCTATTCATGTAACCACTAAAGCAACCTTGTCTCCTAATGTTAGTGGCCACTATTTATTGAGTACTTACAATGGGCCAACATTGTGCCAAGCTCTTTACATAGATCATCTCTTTTATTTCCACAGGTAGTACCGTTATTATCAGTTTTATTTCACAGATGAAAAAACTATTAGTCCTTAGCCCAAGGGCATACAAGAGATGGCACTAAATCCCCTATTTGCCTTTCTGAAAGGCTAGTCAGACCCTGGGTTTGGCACCAGTTACCAGGCAAAGGCAAAAGTAGAAACTGGAGGCCAAAGTCTTCCAGAGCAGCTCCAGGAAGGGAACTCATTCTTCCGGAACATTGGTGGTGGAGGCCTGAGAGGCAAGGAAACACAACTATTCTTTTTTGTGCTGCTGGCACCTCCTGCCCTCCTCCTTTGCGTTGGACGCTTTCAGAAGCTGCATTAACGCTTTCAAGGCCCTGATAAGTTAAACAGCAGCAAGGTTCTAAAGGTGCATTGAAATACTGCTCCAGAAATCCTACAGATCAACCTACCGGGCTGCCCTAACTTAAAGTCATTCCTGACCAAGGTGTTATGGTAGCTTCTGAGGCCAAAGGGACATCAGCACAAATCAACAGCAGCGTCTGAACATGCTAACAGGGCATAATACATCCAACACTCGCCTCTAGACACAAGCGTCAACTGTTTCTCCTACCTCTCAGAAGGCAGTGCTGCAGAGTCACTCCAAAGGGGCCTGCTTTATACAATTTGTAGAATTATAAAGGGCCATTTACTAACCAAAGGGTCTAAATACTGCACTGACAAGGAGAACACAGCTTAGTAACAGGTATCCCCCAGCACTGAACCCACAGGGTATCTCTAATGATTTCAAGGGATAGGAAGAAATACTCTAAAAGTGCTCAAAACCAAATAAACTCAAAACCTAGATAGACAGCTTCCCATAGTGCTTGGGATGGGAGTGGATGTTGAAACTCAGCAGCAGAGTCCAGCAACTCCAAAAGGTTAGGAATCATTGGCAACCCGTTGAAGCTATATCTCAACACATGATGATTGCATTGGTTTTAGAAAGATTACTGGCATTTTCCCAGAATGGTTTCAATGTCAGTGCAACATAATGGAAGGGTAAATTTGGGGCCACAGCAACCCAAAATCAGAGACTCATTTGGGGCAGCCTTGTTTATAGGATGACATTTAAGTCTCAAACTACTAAATTCGAAGAAATGAAAATATGCTCAATCCAGTTCAATAGCTCAGAAAGTAATGAAATAAAGCTGCATTATTTTAACCCAAATGACAGGTTTTTAAAAAATGTTATTTGCAAATATCCAGTTTTATCTAATTTTATGGTATGCTCTCTTATGGACCCTTACAATGCTATGGTGTGTCTTAGGGGCCATGTTATGGTTGTGGCTTGGCTTAAGTGGACCACCAACTTCTAAGGAGATTTATCAGGGAGTGTAAGATAAACAGAAGTCAGAGGTATGTTCAGGATTGTTGGAGGGGTTTGGAAGGAGGAGGAGGAAAAAGGGCATCAAAGACTTGCAGACCATCAGAGGTGAGCATGTCCAACTTCTCTGCGTTCCATTTCCCCTAATCTAGATTGGCATGTCTGACCAAATTCTTGCCTCCGGTGCCACTTTTAAAATCCTAAGAGATGAGAACATCAGAGCACTATTTATTATCTTCAAAAACAGATGGTCTCAACTCAGTCTAAGGCAGATCTGTATTGACTGACATGAAGCAACTTCCAAAATATATTATTAAATGTAAAAAAAAAAAACAAACGTTTAAGAATGGCATGCATACTGTGCCATTTGTATATAAAAAAGGGAGAAGATATGTATACATAAGTGTTTGTATATACATAGAGTTTATCTAGATTCTAGAAGGATACATTAGAAAGAGGTAAAGATAAAGGTATCATGGAGCTGAGATGTCCCCCTACACTACACACCTTTTGTATTTGTACCTTTTTCTCAGTTTCAAAGGTAATCATGAAATAAAATGCACCATTTCACTAAGAGAGCCATATTTTCCAGGCCAATATTTGACTCCTGGGACCTTGAAATTTTACATAGTCAGAGAGTACTGTGCAGAAATGAAATCATCCAGTGATGTCTTTACGCAGCCACTCAAGCTTCACCCAAGAAGAATGTAAAAGTGCAAATGTCAGTCCATTTTTGTTAAAGCTGCTTCTTTTGCTGCTGTTTTTAGTCCTTCTTTTTCTCCTCAGATTTTCTGAAGATGAAAATCTTCACGGTGCTGAAAGAGAAATCACAAAGACTTTAAAAGAGCAAATGAGTTATTATGTTAGCTGTTAAATAAAATCGTTCCCCTAACTCTCCGGAGAGAGAATTACAAAGAAAAGCTGAAGTCATTTAAGATTTATTTCCCTTTCCTTAACTACTTGTGAATATGGATCAAGATTGACACCCAGTGGCCAAATTCAATCCTTTTTTTCACTGAAATTCCCTTTCTGTGTGATTAGCTATTTTCTAAAATTTCCCTTCATCTGTTTTAGATTGAAAATATTACTTAAATTTATGACTTGTTTACTGAAAGTGAATTGTATCTTATAAAGCCAGGTTAAATTAGTAAGTCTCGTTTCATACATAAGTGATGGGTTTATTTCTACATCCTCTTTGTCTGCATTTTTTACCTAAAATTAAAAAGCAATTTGCCTTCGGTTAACAAAACAATGTATTCAATTTCTAGTAAAACTAATGGAACAAATTGGAATTATGTAGCAAACCTAATTAGACAACAAAATATATCGTTAATTTCTCCTATTTCAAATAGCAAAATTACCTATTTCTGATAAGTTACTTCTAATAATTTAACATTTAATAATTTTGAAAACTTGAGGGTGATATAATTGTTCATGAAATATGCTAATTAGAGAACCCTATCAGAGTTTAATTTTACCTCTATTTAAAGAGAAGGAGGAAAAAAGGCACAAAATGTATAATTTTGTCGAATGACCTCTTATATGAGCACATTGGAAGTTTTGTGATGAGGTTCAAATGAAATATATTGTGGCATCCATTTTAATGGTTCTAAAGAAGAGAAAGAAATCTTTTGATGAAATTAATATTTTGGCAAATACATCTGATAAGTTTAACACAGATTACCAAACAAGAAAGTAGTGAATTTAAGAGCCGGAAAGATCAAAGTCCAAATTCTAACTAGATAATCTTGGGCAAGCCTCAGCATTTTACTAAATTTCAATTCCCTTGTCTATAAAATGGAGCTATTAAGCCTGCCTTGCAGGGCCATTGTGAGGATTTAATAAGATGCAAACTTAACATGCTTATCATGGTACCTGGCACATAATGATATAAACAGTAGCTATTATTATTATCAGAACACCAGAAAAAGCAAAGTTATGAAAGTCAACCCACATGAAGCAGACATCTCTTCTTTTTTTTTTTTTTTTTTTTTTGAGGAAGACTGGCCCTGAGCTAACATCCGTGCCCATCTTCCTCTACTTTATATGTGGGACGCCTATCACAGCATGGCTTGCCAAGCGGTGCCGTGTCCACCCTTGGGATCCAGGCCGCTGAAGTGGAACGTGTGCACTTAACCACTGCACCACCAGGCCGGACCCAGACATCTCCTCTTGAATCAACTTTCTAGTATCTGCTTTGATGTAAGAGAACAGTGGCCCCCGACAATCAAAAGTACAAATAGTCTAAGAAATCCAATAATCCAAATAAAACCTTTTACAACTGGGTTTCTATCATACAATATTTTTTATGGCTTCTTTACTTTCACAATCATTCTTTAATCAAAAAATTAAAATTAAATTGAAAATCAGGGCTCTCCAAACGTTTTGCTTTTTAGGAAAAAAACAAGATTAGTGCTTACCCCACAAATCTCCATATATGATGTATAGCAATTAATTTATTCATAAATCATATACATACTATTACACTATTTATTATAAAATACGCCCCCAAAATAGAAATTTTTAAAGTCTGAGATAAATATAAATCCAAGTGGAGACATTCTTTTCTGTTCCCCAGTGAAGTATCTTGCCCATGCCTGAGGGGGTACCCCTCACTCTGGAGGCCAACACCCTAACAGTTCTCTGACTTCTCACCAAGAAGAGGAAGAGAGACAAACTCACTAGTGATCTGGGAGCAGTGGAACCAGCAAGGGCTTTGAGGACCCCAATCCTGCATTGAAAACGCTCTCCCATTTATGGCTGGTGTAGCCTCAGGCAAGTCTCTGCATCTCTGAGCCTCAGGGTCTTCTTTCAAAGGAGAGTGATTATACCTACAAATGATACTGTCTGGAAAACACAGTGCTTGGAGCACAGTATCGTGATTACTCAGAGCTGAAAGAAGCTTTCTAAGGTCACTTAGGACACTAGGCTAGAATGACGCGGTCTCCCAGATTTTTTAAAAGGCCAGGAGACTTATCAACAGCCACATAGCTGGCTGCAGACAAATCCATAGTACATCCTGTTCTCTTTACTGAGCTCAGGCTACCTCAAAAAGGGCACTGTCGGGCCAGGTTTCCCTAGGACTGGGTATTTAAATTTTGCCATAAAATTTCCCATAAATTTTATTCCATGTGTAATCTACATAGAGATATAATGAAAAGTTACCCATATATTGTTATTATTATACAGCTTAAAAAAAATCCCACAAGTCACAGAGGAAAATATATCCTATTACCAGCACTAAAAATCCCTTCAATACATTTTATTTTTACATCTGTACAATGGGAAAAACTCCGGTCTGGAAGAAATGCTACGTAGATCCTAGTCCCAACTGTGACATAGACCATTCACTTGATTACACTATGCCTTGTTTTCCTTCTGTATTAAGCGGAAATGATAACACTCACACGTGTTACAACAATAGCATACAGTAATATAGGACAGTGAAAGGATTCTCGGTATAACAATCATTATTGCTAATGTCCTCTCTTCCCACAACAGTAAAATTGCCACACACACACACAAACACCCATTTGATAATTCAGTATCCTCCCAGACAAAAAGATCACTCCACCAGCCCACAAGTAAGTCCTACCAAGAAAAAGCACTGACATTTTCTGCCTTCTCTGGTTGCTCTTTTTGTCTTCTGATCCGTCTAGGGGCTGGCCTCAGTCCAAGGCCCGTTCTGAGCCATGCCTTATCAGCAACCCCAGGTCTTCCAGCCTGTAGACAAGGTTTACAGTTTGCTATGGATGAGCTTTTCATTCCACGTATCCAGGTCACAGCCTTTCCTACCTGACCTCTCCCGGACCAAGACATCTCAGCCCTTAAGACCAAGCATCTGCCTTGGCTCACCTGTTTGGAGCTCCCGTCCTTTACTAGGTCTGATGTCCTAACCAATGAAGAATAGATGTCGTATTACAGGCCTACTCCCATGCTGGGTATCTACATACAGTGTTTCTAATCCTTACAACAACCTATGAAGGTTTCACTTTACAGTTATGGAAACCGATTCAGAGAGGTTAAGTAACTTGCTGAAGTTACACAACTAGGAAAGGGAAATGTCCAGATAACCATTTCAGTCTCGCTTCAGATCACATGCTCTTTCTAAAATATTTCACATCCTGATTCCCTACCTAGTTCCTGCCTAATCTACCCCTAGATTCTAGATCCTGTTCCCATGCCCTTGCAGGGGTCCTACCAGAAATCACTGGACTAGCATACGCCACCATCTCCTGCTTTTAGACTTACCTACTCACTGGAGCACATATTGGAGCCCACAGAAGCATTCTCTTACGCATGTTATTTACTAATTGCCTGACAAGCTCATATTGCTACACCCTTTAGGCCCAGAGTATTGTGTTGCATGGCTTCCCACCTGCACACTTTCATTTCACTCAACTCAGTCGCAGCTTCCTTCTGTTTCATGCCAGCTGATGTTCCTGAGGTCCCAACATGCTTCACATCTGAACCTGCCTTACTTTTTTTTTTTTTTTTTGAGGAAGATTAGCCCTGAGCTAACATCTGCTGCCAATCCTCCTCTTTTGGCTGAGGAAGACTGGCCCTGAGCTAACATCCATGCCCATCTTCCTCTACTTTATATGTGGGACACCTGCCACAGCATGGCTTGCCAAGCAGTGCTATGTCTGCACCCGGAATCCAAACCAGAACCCTGGGCCACCAAAGCGGAACATGTGCACTTAACCGCTGCACCACCAGGCCGGCCCCCTGAGCCTGCCTTACTTACAACACATACAGCAACTTATTATCTCCCTAGAATGACGACTTAAGGAACTGACAAATTATTCACTACTTTGGAAAATACCATATTTCATTTGGATGAATAATTGTGATTCACTATTAAAAAGAAAAAAACAGCGGACATTTAGACTTGTCTTTTAAATACAAAACAGTCATTTGAATTGAAAACATCTGTGAGTATTGAGAAAGCAAAAATCTTTTTAATCTCTATAGATACACAGGGATTAGAGTGGGATGGCACCCCCCCCCCTTTTTAAAACTCAGGGACATTGACATAAAGCCTTAGTAGAGGCAATAATCCACGTGAAATTTTAATGAGCTCTCCCTAACTCTCCAAGTTCCGAGAAATAGAAAAAGCACTAAAATCACATTTTTATAGGTATTTGAAAAAGATATTTAGAAAGCATAAACGAACTATGATGTTCTGTGAGCCTTGCAGTCTTACCGATGAGGATGATGCCTAACGTTTGCTGCTGGTCATTTTACTGTAGAGTTAACGCCCTGATTCACAGGAAACTTCCTGCACTTCTCACACTGCGGTGAACGAAGCTAGCTCCGAAGTTGGGGCTTTAGCCCTGATCCCAATTACAGAAATTTAGGAATCAGTTTGCAAAATACAGACCAATAAGCAGAAGGTAGGCACGGGGCTCTTAACAAAGTGGCTTCAACTACTAGATCAAAAAATAAGGGGCCAGCCCCGTGGCTGAGTGGTTAAGTTCGTGGGCTCCGCTTCGGTGGCCCAGGGTTTCGCCAGTTCGGATCCTGGGCGCAGACATGGCACCGCTCATCAGGCCATGCTGGCGCGGCGTCCCACATGCCACAACTAGAAGGATCCACAACTAATAATACACAACTATGTACTAGGGGGCTGTGGGGAGAAAAAGGAAAACTAAAATCTTTAAAATAAATAAATAAAATCTGAATGTGTTTCATATGAGGCAACTGTGCAAGAAATATTTAAACAACTATTATCAAGATTAGATGGGGTAACTCTGTTCCCACCACCAAGAACGTGTCCTGAGAAATGTGCCAGGCCCATATGACACCTTTGCTC